AGTTTTAGTAGCGATAAAATTTTTGTAGTATATTTGCAAGGGCTAGCAAATTTGTCAAATAGTTTAAGCTTTAAATTAAAATTAATCATCGAAAGTTGTTTTTTTGAGTACTTGATTTGTTAATTTTGTTTGCTAGTTTAAGCAGCCAAAGAAGGTGGATTAAACTTGGACAAGAACGAGGGAGAGAATAGTTGATGCAAAACATATATACAATTTTTAAGAAAATAAACATTAAATTAATTTATTTTTAATTTACTATACAAATATTGAGACCTTAACTCCCATTTTCACAATGTATAGTTATTTTTTAACTTTAAAATATATTGACAGTTCTCATACAAAAATTGTTTTAACTTGAAGAATAACTACCAGTTAAACGATAACTGGAGGTGGCGAAATTGGGGGTAGATCATCAAATTTTTGGTTTTAATTTAGTTTTTCTAAAACTGTTCAATTTATTTACATATTACACTCAAAGCTGTCTTCTTCTTTTTTATAAAACATTCATTGTTTTGATAGCAAATAGTGACATTTTCTGTTGTTTGGTATGGCAATATTGAAATTGTACAAAACAGCATGAAAAGTTGTACTTTTTGATTCGCATTGTACCAAATCTTCATATTTTTTCTTGCTAATTTATAAAACTACGAAGAAAACTGTCTCTTTCATATTAAAACTGTCAGTAAACTAATCAATATATTAACTATTTTATTTATTACCTTGATTATTAAATGATCCCATCAAATAGTATTTACTCCATCCGTAACAGATTTTAAAATGGACCAGTTTTAAAACAATATTCATATGTATTAGCCCATAGACTAGATAGTCTATAAACTAGACAATAGACTAGTCTTTAGACTAGACAATCGACTTTTACATTTTTTAGTAAGAATGTTTATAAATCCCCTATTTATAAAAACAGAATGTATATTTTGACTAGTATAAAAACCCGGTCTTTTCATTACACCAAATTTGAGGCATTTTCTTTGGCATCGGGGGTATATAGTGTTGTCTAAGTAAACTTTGTAAATATGCCAAAATACATATTGCAAATCAAAAGAAGAAAATTAAAAGAATATCGAGCACAAAATAAAATTTGCAAAAAAAAAAAAAGAAAATAAAATAATTGAAACTATTCACACTACTAACGTACAATCTAGAAAAACAGAAAAATAAACAGCAAAAAGTGCAATCTCTGTGTATCTATCTATTGGTTGCAACAACGATGAAAAGAATAAAACAACTACATGTATATGCGAATTTATCAACCCAGTCATCATTGTTACGTCCCCCACTCAATGTCCCGCCGTTAAACAATTCACGTTTGCCAAGAGAGCTTAACGTTTGTATTTTTTTTACATCAATAATAAGAAAAAAGAAGAAAAACGTATATAAACAAAGTACAGAAAAACATCAATACGTTATAAAAAATGTAAAAAAATGCATTATACTTAATTTTTTTACTATATTATATTTGTGTACATTTCATTTCTAACGTTTGGGAGATTAATAGACGAGAATATTCTTTTATTCTAATAAAAAAAAAAAGAAATACTACTCTCTTATTGGTTGAGTTTTCTTTTTTTTTATATTTGGGAGAGAACTTTATTTCTGTCAAACAAATAGTTTATTAAAGAATTTTCGAAATTATTGACCACAAAACAAGGTAAAATTAAAAACAAACAAAATGGCATATACAAATTGGGAATAGAGACAAGTAAATGAATGTAAAAAACAAATAATATTCTTTTCAATACAAAATTAAATTACCATGAAAAATTGTCAATATAGAATGATGGCGTTTATATTTAGTACAACAAAAAAGTACATTTTTTTTCTATTTTGTAGACGCAGTGGATCTTAAATTTTATGACAATAAAAGACAAATATATGATTTAACCCTATACCAGTTAGCGCTAATGTTTGCTTAGAAATATTGTTCAAAACATCCATTGATTAAGTAAGAAGCTTGCAAACAAAATCTAAAAAAATCATCTCAATGAAGTATTTCCTTTGCAACGTGTAACTATTTATTTGCTTATATGGGTTTTATATATTAATTGCATAGAGAAGTGGAATCATTATTGATTTTAGCAACTGAAATCAAATTAAAAACGATTATTCATAATAAGTTTATAATTAGATAATTAGAACGACAAATGTTTATGACGCAGATGTTGTACATCTGTAATGTGAATGTAATAATTTTAGAAAAACTATATATATTTCTGTTACAAAAATAAAGAAAATATTATTGGCGAATAATTTTAACAAGATTTGTTTTGGCTTTTTCGGATTATATCTTAGTATGGTTTAATTTGGAAAGAGAATTAGTGAAAATAATAAAGATATTCCTTTTTATCTTTTACCAAATAATATAGTTAAAAATTGAGTCTGTCGGGAACCGGAGTTATTAACAGATTATAATTCACTTTTCGACATTTTTACATTTCCCATATACATTTCATGTGCCTTGAGATGAGTTGACAATCTTTGGTGGATTCAGAATAGAGTCGTTTCGGAGCGAAGATCTAATAGTCGTTGAAACGTGTGTTTTTGTTATTTTATTTCAACGGTGGCCTTAAATTATAATAAGAAAATATTTAATTATTTGTGTTAGACTCTGTGATTGGTTGTAAACAGAAGTGGTGTTTTTGTATTTCGGAATGTTTCAAAGATTAGAAAGCTTTGGGTACTTGATTAAAGTGCTTGGACTGGCAGAATCATGTAAAAAAATGCCATGGTAGTGGCACAACTGACAATTTCTACCTAGAATTAGCATTCTAGGGTTGATTTAGATATTAACTTGGAAATTAATAGTTATCAATAGAAAGATTAATTTTCCAAACCCATTAGTTCTTCATTGTATAACTTTTGGCAATATTATGTTAAACATTTTGAAATCTATCCCATTGCCTCTGAACCTTTCCTAGAACATTTTTTTGTCTTGTTACAAAGATTTTTTTTAAATTTTGAATGAATATTTCCTTAATTTATTATAAAATTTGCAATGGAAATTGTAAACAGGAAAACCAAAAGTAGAAAACATTTGTACATTATGCCAAGGTATGTTAAACATTTTGAAATCTACTAATTATAATAACTGTCAATCCTAATAAAAGTAAAATTGATTAAACATCTTGGTCACACATTGGTAATATTTTAAGTATTTTTTTTTTGTAATTTTTTCTTTTCTGCAATTACACAGACTTGTCAGAGTTGTATTTGGTAAAATTATTTGTTTCTTTCCCTACTTGTATATGCTTCTTCTTGTTCCACTTGCAAAATACCTTTTGGTTCTTTTTTGTTGATTTTCTGTTTAGTATTCCTAGATTCTGTTAGTGTCTGAAGCTTAACCACCAATTCTTTCATTCACTTGATTCTTACTCTCCCTCTCTCTCTTTCTCTCGAGCTTTGTACTTTTACTTCTATTCTATTTGTTTTCTTATATTACATTTTTTTGTTTTTGTATTGAGTATGCGCTTTTTATTTGAAATAAAAAGAAAATAGCAAATCATACAATGCACGAACTAAATGTAAAGAAAAATTGTAAATCAAGTACATACAGATATTTTTTTGTGTAGTTACATATTGATTGAAGTTCCCGAGAAAAAAATAAAAAAAATAATATACAAGAAAAAAATAATTAAAAGATTAATATTTTTCAAAAGTAAAAAATATTTCCATATATTGTGTAAACTTTTAAAAGTAATAATTTTTCGATCATTTTATTAATTCTTTTGGCAATTCTTGTTTTTTTTCTTCTTCTTGTATGCAGAACTTTTGGTTAGTATTGAAAATTGCAATAAAAATTGTATATAATATGGCGGCGGCATCAACCAAAAAATTTGTTAACTTATACGTCGTACAAGTATCTTGTATCTACTCTAACTCTGCTACAGGGACTTTTATATAGTCACAAGAGTCAGTTAGTCTTTTGTATGTTCCTGTAGTTTGGTATTTATATTTGTTGTTGTTGTTTTTTCCATTCGTTTTTTTTGGTACTTACACTATTCATTCGTTGGTACAATCTACTATATGGAAGATGTTGGTAGTTGTTTCGCTCGGTTGGGTTGTTTGTTATGTAATCTCTGAAATTTGGCATTTTTTTGTTTTTATTATATGTTCCACCTTCTCCTTTGAAATGTATATGTTTTTTTACGAGTTTGTTTTGTGCAAAAATTATCTGATTATTTCTTTGTTATTTGTGTTTTTTAAAAACTTGGATTGTCAATAAATTGCTTTATTTTTAATCTTGTTTTTTTATTTCTTCTTTTATTACAATATAGGTACTTGTTTTATTTATGTTTTGTTTTTAACAATTGTTCATTTATTGTTGTCTTCTTGTTTTTTACTTATATATTAAATACCTGGAATCAATAAATTTTTATGTATGTTCTTTTTTACAATATTATAATAGTTTCTTTCAATACTCTATATCGAGTGACTATATCCATAACACTCTATCTTAGATTTTCACGAAAATTAGAAAAAAAAGCCCACAGCTGTAATACAAATTTTAGAGTAAACAAATTAACTTTGGCGCTTTTATTTGAATTTTTTCTTATATCTTTAATTTAATGATTCAATGAAAATATTTGGACAGTTATCGTGATTCAAATCTGAATCGATTCGCTATATCGTTTAATTTTTAAGCCATTATCTATAGCTTTCAAACGACATTAAATTTTTTGTAAAGGAAGTTGTGTTCGCTTTGTTACAACGGCTCGAATGTGGTACAAAAGAACTTAACGTTTCAAGAGAAAAATTGGGATATTTTTTTCAGTTTTTCACATATCCGAAGTGAATATTTCTAAAAATCGTTAATATATCTTCAAAAATTAGAGATTAATATATAATTTTTTAATTCTTCCCTTGATAAAGTTTTCTTACACAGTTTTAATGTCATAAGATTAAGGTGAATAGTTTAAGATTTCAATATAACAATAAATATTGTATTAATTATTAATTTACATTTCACTCTCTTCTCTTTACAGTTTGTGATTAAAACAACGATATAAATCGAAATATATAATTAAAAATATAAAATTATTAGAAAAAAATTATATAAAAATAAAAGTAAAAAACGAAAATCAAAACATCTTCACGATAATTTTGAGTGAGAAAACGTTAAAGCAAACAACGATCGTGGAATCAACAAATAACAATAGCTGTTTTAAACGTTTCCAAAGGAAACCTAAGAAACGTAAACGGCCCTTAAACTATAACAAACGCCGCAATTATCGTTATTATTGTTATCGAAATAACACAATAAATATTATTAAATATAAAAATAATAAAGAAAATAAAAATTATAATAAAAATCGTAATATTAGTAGACGACAACAACTATTAAAAATTCTGAATACCAAAGTAATGTTGATTAATGTAATGGCTAATAATGTAATGTTGTCCAAGAATATTCAACGATCAAAACTTTTAATACATAATTTAAAAGCTCTAAATATCACGGACTATTGTTTTGAATTAAGCCCCCATGATTTTGGGGGCCCGCCACCACTTTATGTACAACAACATCAACTGGAGGAAACTAACGAAAAAACGACAATACAACAAAATATTGGCCGCCAACAAAATCAGAATAAGAAACAATTTAATACAATTGCAACAAATACTTCGATAACAATTACAAAAAATGATGATAACAGTTAAGTGATAATAAACAGCAAAAAAGAAACAAAAAAAAAAAAAAAAGAAAAACACAAACAGAAAAAAAAAACATGTTAACATTTTCGAATGAATGAACAAGAAGAAAAATTAATAACAAAATAACAGTTTTTCATTTAAAAAATTTATTGTAAAAAAAAAACAAAAAAAGAAAATAAATACCAAAATACTGTAAAGAGGATAGATAGAAAGCAAAAAAACCCAGCCTCAACTAGCAGTAGGTCGGTCACATTCTCCTCATCAGAAGATAAGTAAAGTGAGTAAAAACAAAAACAAAAAAAGTTTTGCTAGAATTTTGTTGTTTGTTACGTTTTATTTTCAAATTAAAACCTTTTTACTACAATTTTTGTTGAGTTTTTAATTTTTGTAAATAAATAAAAAACATTAAAAGAAAAACACTTACAAATCAGAATAACCAACCTCTGTCAGAAATAATACTTATTCTGGAGAAGTATTTTTTGATAAATCATATCAAAGAAAACTTCATAATCCAAAACTAATAAAAAATACAAAAAAAGACCAAGTTTAGGTAATTTTTCTTAAATAAATAATGCCCTTGCCATCTTCGGGTATAATTGTAGTTGAGAAACCATCTTCAGCATCTAGTACAATAATCAACAATTCCTCAACAACTATTAATACAGTTAATAATTCTTCACTTCATCCACCACAAGAACAGACCCAACAGGCACAACCAAAACAACAAACTCAAATACAATATTATGAATATTATGATGTTAATGAAAATCAACAGCAGCAACGACAACAGCAACAATATCATCATCAACAACAACAGCAGCAGCAGCAACAACATTCAACAATTGTGGTGGATGGTACAGTATACCATCATCAGCAACTACAACAGCACCAACAACAATTGCAATTAGGAGCAGGATCAGGCAGTGTAGTAATCGGGCGTAAAATTCATAATTCGTCCTCTACATCGTCCACATCCTCGACGTCTTCGTCTTCGTCCTCGTCTACGTCGTCGTCATCAACGACTTCGTTAAATAAACCAAATTTACACATACAAACCTTAAAAACCGTGCCCATGCCGCAAACTAAACAATATTCTCAACAGCAACAAATAATACAGCATACCTCTCATACAAACACCGCCACAGCCACCACCACAAATCCGCAACATCATCAGCATCAACATCATCTGCATCAACAACCGCAACATGTGCAGCAGATCAATTTGGCTGCTTCATCTATACAACATCATCAAACGCAACACCATCATAACCAACAGCAGCAGCAGCAACAACAACAGCCTACGCCGACGGCCCATATGATCCAAGTTTCTGAAGAATTTCTAGAACAAGCTGCCAACAATCACAACACAGGCAATATGATGATTTCCACCACAGGCGAGGTTATCAACCAACAGCAAATATTCAAAATTGTCAGCACTGATGGCACCACCGGTAACATGATCATTGATGCAACTAATCAAAATGCAAACACTACAACAACCACCTCTAAAGTTCTATTAAGTAATTTGACTGTATTGTCCAAACAGCAAACTACTGCACAGGGTCAAATTATTGCTAGCAGTCATCAACAGTCCCCAGCAGCAGGACAAACAATCAATTTTGTCAATGCCAAAAACTTGTATACAACTTCAGCGACTGGTGGTAGCATTGCTACGGGCGGTAAACAGCAAAAGTTTACAGTGGCCACAGCAAATGTGGGTAACTACAAGGGATCGACCCTCAAACAAACATCCTCAGTAGCTGGTACCCAATATTTGCAACAGACCAATGCTATGGGACAACAGAAAATCAATATGACTGCTGGTAATCGTAATATGCAAATGTTGACCACAACACGAGTACAAAGTGGAAATGCCAACTCAAATACCAACAGCAGCAATGTTGCTCTTTTAACGAATAATACAGCAACGGCACAAACAATGGTACTGCAACAACATCCTCAGAAATTTATTACCAACAACACGGTTGGAACTAAGACAACAACAACTGCTTTAGGTTCTGGTGGTGGCAATATTATTAAGAAGTCAACAACAACTGGAACATTACGTATGAATAACAGTAACAATACAACGGCTACTACGAAATTAATGAACAATTTGCAAACGACGCAAGGAGTCAAAACATTTATAACACAAACTCCCAGTCTACAGCAACAGCAAACGCAAAATATCAATCAATTGACTTTACAGCATCATACAACAAAGGGCAGTGGCGGCAAATCGAAATTTGTTAAACAGTATAATAATGCTATACTCAACAGCGCTGGCGCTGTAACAATAGCAACGTTACCACATCAACAGTCAAATAGCCAAAATAATTTGCAAATTCAACAGCAGCAGCAGCTACAACATCAACAGTTACAGCCACAAACCACCTATATAAATCATCATAAGAATAGCGGTGGCGGGGGATCGACGAAAATTAATAAGATCAATTCAAAGTATGCACAATCGGTAAATGTGGCAGCTCAATTACCGCCTGGTACTCAATTGCACCAAAAAAGTATTAATCAACAAACACAACAACAGCAGCAGCAACAATTTCAAACAGCTAGCAGCAATAGTAATATTAAATTTGTAAATGCTCAAGGTACCATTATACAACAACAGCAGCAGCCTCAGAAATTCAATAATAAACACCATCATCAGCAACAACAACAACAGCAGCAGCAACAATATCAAAATTTACAAAATTATGATATAGTAGATGGTAATCATCTTTATAGCCCAACAACGGCTAGTGCAGCTGTTGGTGCAACTTCTTCAACATCTACGTCAACTGGAACAACATCATTGACGCCTGCAACAGCAGCTTCAACTTCATCTTTATTAACTGATGATATAATGATGGTAAATGGTACACAAATGACAGATGAACTATCTGCTCGAATATTGCAAAGTATGTCCCAGAAATCATTCAGTAATCAGCGATATCAACAGCAACAACAGCAGCATGTTTTTCAAACAAAATCATCAACGACAACACCATCAGCAGCATCCTCACCATCGCTGAGTTCCAACAGTAATACTAACAACAATAATATGTTGCCACCTCCAACTTCATCTGCTCCACAAAATACCATTATGCAAACAAACAACAGCAACAATAATAATTCAAATATTTTATTATCCCCACGAGAATATACACTGTATCCAACGACAGCGGCAGCAGCAAATATTGCTGTAGTTCCCGCAAGTCATCATCAACAGCAGCAACAGTCTTCTCCTAATCATTACAGTAATGCGACTAACCCAACGGCGTTGGCGGCAACAGCTTCCTCAAATATAACGGCTGGTTCCTTTTCATCCAACAATTATATTACAGTTTCTAATAATAGTAATAGTATGACTACTATTACGCCACACACGACCGGCGGAACTTCAGCAGTTGCAAACAGTACGTTGACGAACAATTCAACGAGTGGCAGTTTAAGCGGTTCGGCAGTACGACAAGCTCAAAGTGCTCCTAATTCTCGTTCCCAGTCAATGGAACGTAAATTACATGAATCTTCAATGTCGCGCAAATCAACGGAGTATTATAAAGTCAAGTAAGTGCTTTTTTATTACATACATACTTATACATTTTTAAGTTGGAATCTTTAATATTTTTGAGTTAGCTCATCATGCTTGATCAATTTGAGTTCTTTAAATTTGGAATTAAAGAAAATCGTTAAAATCACTAGTTGATGAAAGTGTAGTATTTTATCATTTGAGAGAAGGTCTAGTCATTTTTAATTCGAGAGATTAAATGTTCTATTAAATGAACCAAATAAAGTAACAAATTCCTCAACTGTTTCATTATACAGCTTTACTAGAAATTGTTTTAAGGATAACAATTTCGAATAAAATTAATTGATTATAAAATGGATTCCAGAACTTTTGTGTAGAAAGTATTTCGGTTTTATAATCGGGCTCAGAGTCTGAAAGTTCTATTTCAGTTCAAGTTCAGTTCTAGTTCAGTTCTAGTTCAGTTCAAGTTCAGTTCAAGTTCAGTTCTAGTTCAGTTCTAGTTCAGTTCTAGTTCAGTTCTAGTTCAGTTCTAGTTCAGTTCTAGTTCAGTTCTAGTTCAGTTCTAGTTCAGTTCTAGTTCAGTTCTAGTTCAGTTCTAGTTCAGTTTTAGTTCAGTTCTAGTTCAGTTCTAGTTCAGTTCTAGTTCAGTTCTAGTTCAGTTCTAGTTCAGTTCTAGTTCAGTTCTAGTTCAGTTTTAGTTCAGTTCTAGTTCAGTTCTAGTTCAGTTCTAGTTCAGTTTTAGTTCAGTTCTAGTTCAGTTCTAGTTCAGTTCTAGTTCAGTTCTAGTTCAGTTTAGTTCAGTTCTAGTTCAGTTCTATTTCAGTTCTATTTCAGTTCTATTTCAGTTCTAGTTCAGTTCTAGTTCAGTTTTAGTTCAGTTTTAGTTCAGTTCTAGTTCAGTTCTAGTTCAGTTCTAGTTCAGTTTAGTTCAGTTCGAGTTCAGTTCTATTTCAGTTCTAGTTCAGTTCTAGTTCAGTTCTAGTTCAGTTCTAGTTCAGTTCTAGTTCAGTTCTAGTTCAGTTCTAGTTCAGTTCTAGTTCAGTTCTAGTTCAGTTCTAGTTCAGTTCTAGTTCAGTTCTAGTTCAGTTCTAGTTCTAGTTCAGTTCTAGTTCTAGTTCAGTTCTAGTTCTAGTTCAGTTCTAGTTCATAGTTCAGTTCTAGTTCAGTTCTAGTTCAGTTCTAGTTCAGTTCTAGTTCAGTTCTAGTTCAGTTCTAGTTCAGTTCTAGTTCAGTTCTAGTTCAGTTCTAGTTCAGTTCTAGTTCAGTTCTAGTTCAGTTCTAGTTCAGTTCTAGTTCAGTTCTAGTTCAGTTCTAGTTCAGTTCTAGTTCAGTTCTAGTTCAGTTCTAGTTCAGTTTCTAGTTCAGTTCTAGTTCAGTTCTAGTTCAGTTCTAGTTCAGTTCTAGTTCAGTTCTAGTTCAGTTCTAGTTCAGTTCTAGTTCAGTCTAGTTCAGTTCTAGTTCAGTTCTAGTTCAGTTCTAGTTCAGTTCTAGTTCAGTTCTAGTTCAGTTCTAGTTCAGTTCTAGTTCAGTTCTAGTTCAGTTCTAGTTCAGTTCTAGTTCAGTTCTAGTTCAGTTCTAGTTCAGTTCTAGTTCAGTTCTAGTTCAGTTCTAGTTCAGTTCTAGTTCAGTTCTAGTTCAGTTCTAGTTCAGTTCTAGTTCAGTTCTAGTTCAGTTCTAGTTCAGTTCTAGTTCAGTTCTAGTCAGTTCTAGTTCAGTTCTAGTTCAGTTCTAGTTCAGTTCTAGTTCAGTTCTAGTTCAGTTCTAGTTCAGTTCTAGTTCAGTTCTAGTTCAGTTCTAGTTCAGTTCTAGTTCAGTTCTAGTTCAGTTCTAGTTCAGTTCTAGTTCAGTTCTAGTTCAGTTCTAGTTCAGTTCTAGTTCAGTTCTAGTTCAGTTCTAGTTCAGTTCTAGTTCAGTTCAGTTCTAGTTCAGTTCTAGTTCAGTTATAGTTCAGTTCTAGTTCAGTTCTAGTTCAGTTCTAGTTCAGTTCTAGTTCAGTTCTAGTGCAGTTCTAGTTCAGTTCTAGTTCAGTTCTAGTTCAGTTCTAGTTCAGTTCTAGTTCAGTTCTTGTTCAGTTCTAGTTCAGTTCTAGTTCAGTTCTAGTTCAGTTCTAGTTCAGTTCTAGTTCTGTTCTAGTTCAGTTCTAGTTCAGTTCTAGTTCAGTTCTAGTTCAGTTCAAGTTCAGTTCTAGTTCAGTTCTAGTTCAGTTCTAGTTCAGTTCTAGTTCAGTTCTAGTTCAGTTCTAGTTCAGCTCTAGTTCAGTTCTAATTCAGTTCTAGTTCAGTTCTAGATCAGTTCTAGTTCAGTTCTAGTTCAGTTCTAGTTCAGTTCTAGTTCAGTTCTAGTTCAGTTCTAGTTCAGTTCTAGTTCAGTTCTAGTTCAGTTCTAGTTCAGTTCTAGTTCAGTTCTAGTTCAGTTCTAGTTCAGTTCTAGTTGTTCTAGTTCAGTTCTAGTTCAGTTCTAGTTCAGTTCTAGTTCAGTTCTAGTTCAGTTCTAGTTCAGTTCTAGTTCAGTTCTAGTTCAGTTCTAGTTCAGTTCTAGTTCAGTTCTAGTTCAGTTCTAGTTCAGTTCTAGTTCAGTTCTAGTTCAGTTCTAGTTTAGTTCTAGTTCAGTTCTAGTTCAGTTCTAGTTCTGTTCTAGATCTGTTTTAGTTCTGTTCTAGTTCAGTTCTATTTCAATGTTCGTTCTGTTCTAGTTCATAATAATTTATCAAAGGTTTATAACTGAATTTTTTCTGCAATTTTTTTATTAACTTTAGGTAACCGATATTTTATCATTTCACCCTTTTCTTAGTTTATTAACAGATTTTTAAACAATATTATTTGTAAATTTATTATTTTATTTTTTTATTTTATTTTTTTATTTAATTTATTTCTTCAAACTAAATATTTAATATCCTCTACCCCAATCCTTTCACCAAAACATAAAAAATTCAAACTTTCAAAATTGTTTTACTCATTTATGATCTGCATTATTGAAAAAACGAACAATGTAATGTCTATAGTATTAAAGATTATCACTCTGGTTGTGCATTTGTGGTACCAACAACGGCCACTATATATGCAACTAACAATAATACATCATCATCATCCCCTAGTGCAACATCACTAATCGATTTTATTATTCCTTTACCTTCATGTACCACTATAACAACTACCACTACCAACAATATAACAACTTGTACAACAACAACAAATTGTGCTACCATGACCACAATAATAACAAATTCTTCCTACAACCACAATCACAACCACCACCAAAACCTTAACCAAATCAATAACAATATTAGCAATCATAATTCCCTACGTGGCAGCAGCAGCAGTCATCACAGTAATTTAGTGACTACACCAGCCGCTGTGGCCCAAAGTAGCGGGAGCTTAGCTATGGCATCAGCTTCCGCTACGAATCTAATGGGAGGAGTAGGAGGAGTGGTGTCAACAGCAATGCCGCCTTCACCAATGCCACGACCACCATCTATACCACCAGCAGCTTTAATTATGGAACCTCAGGCTCAGGTGATACATTTGCAAGCTACTAAAACTTTACCGGGTGCTAATAATTCATCCAACGATGATGATGATGACATAATTGGTGAAGAAATAAGACCAGCTCCCGTGGAAACTGAAGATATACGTTTGCGCATCCTACATGCAGTTCTACTCGATCACACCTATGTTAATCCAATGCCTTTGGAGTTGCCTACTTCGTTTGCTATACAGTTGGCACCGGCATCAAATTCGAATGCTTCGTCATCAACTTCGGCAACATCATCAAGTGGTGTAACAGGCCATAGTCAGCAGTGGTCTTTGGGTGGTATAGGAGCTGTAGCTGCTACGGCCGCAGCTGGTGGTGTAGCTCAACAAAATTATGCACTTTATAGTACACAATGTAAGTAATTGCTGAGTTTTCAACGAATGAAATAGTATGTATTTAAAATGTTTTGTTTTTTTAATTGTTTGCAGTAACCCGCCTGCAGCAAGATGAAGACTCTTATTCAGCTATTAGTACTAGTTCCAGACTAGCTGTCGGTGATATAGATCCTGGCGAAGAAACGGAGACAGCTCCTGAAGCAGAACTTGAAGATGATTCAATTACACGCTGTATTTGTGATTTAACACACGATGATGGCTACATGATATGTTGTGATAAATGTTGGTAAGTACACTAAACTGTTTAACTATTTTTTATTTTTGATTCCTTTATTCGAGAGATGAATTTCCTTTATCTAATTTAACAATTTGTTTCCTTTAATTTTCTCCTTCTAGTGCTTGGCAACATGTTGACTGTATGGGTATCGATCGTCAGAATATACCCGACGAGTATTTGTGTGAATTATGTCAACCTCGTGATGTGGACAAAGTGCGCGCACGTTCTCTGCAGCTATTGAAACGTAAAGAACAACAACAGCAGCTTATGTTGACGGCTCAAGCACAAGCTGTCACCTCCGCTGGTACCATGGGAGCAGCTGGTTCTGCAAGTGGTGGTAGTGGTGCAGGTGGCGTAGCAAATCTTCTGCCCAACGATGTCTTAGGACCTCAACAACGTTTGGCGGGATCCACAGCGGCTGGTTTTAATCTTACCGGCAATACGGCAACTGATAATGCCGCCCTCCAATTATTTACGGCTGGTGGTACAAATCTAAAGAAAGGAGCCAAAATGTTGAAGAAAGTCAAGGATGGTGTTACTGGTAAAAGATCAAAGAAAGCCGAAAAGTTGGCCGCTGCTGCTGCCGCCGGTTTGACACCCACTGGTAAACCTGCGCGCAAAGAAACCAAAAAGAATACAAAACGCAAAAAAGCAGGTGCCCACGATGGTAGTGGTAGTACAGTTGGCATGACAGCAGCTGAAAAGCATGCTGCCAACTTAAGACAATGGATCGAAAACTATGAACTGGCGGTTACTAATCACTATTCGCCAGAGTTGAGAGCCCGTCTACACGCCATTACCAAGCAACCTTCTCTACTGCAAAGTATTCTGAATACAGAAAATCCCATACTAAAAGAGTTCAGCAATGGCAGCTTGGAGAATCGTGCCACAACTGTACCGCATGCCGGTGGTAAAATACTCATTAGTAACTTGGATATATCACCCAATTCTCCCATCTGTGAACTGAGGGGTAAATATATGCTCACCACCCAATACAAAACGCAAAACACATCAATGAATATGAATAGCCCGCCTCCGAATAACTATCATTTGGCTAGCTACAAGGCTCACAAAACTCCCGGCCCCTTTATATTTTTCTATCAGTTGCCAGGCACTGAGGTGACGTCCACGCAGCACTTAGTGCCGCAAACGACAACAACAACGACGTTAAACGCAGATGGAACTTATACCACCACTACGACCACGTTACCAGCTCAGCAAAGCCCGCCGCCAACTTTCCTCAAAGGTCCCGAAATTTGTGTTGACACCCGAACATATGGCAACGAAGCAAGATTTGTACGAAGGTCATGCCGTCCAAATGCCGAAATACAACATCTATTCGAAAAAGGTACCATCCATTTATTTATAGTGGCTTTGACAGACATCCGAGCCAGTACCGAAATAACCATACGTCATGAACCACACGATCTGTTGGCTGTTGATAATAAGAAATCATCCACAATGATCATACAGCCCACTAGTACGCCATGTGCTTGTGGTTTAACGAAGGATTGTATTTTTGGACCACCTTTGCCACAGCTGCCGCCGGCGGCCAAATCAAATGCCGGCCGTAAATCTCTGGCGCATGGTGGTGCAGGAACTGCAAATACCGGTAATTTAACAGCGAAACAGCGCAAAGCAAATCAACAGAATTTGAATCGTAACCGATCGATCTCATCCAGTGCCAGTGGTGACAGTAATATGGGCACCACAGCGACGACAACGACAAACACTGTAGCCATGGGCTTAAATAGTCCCAACAATGTGGGCAAGACTGCAGCTACAAATAAAATGGTCAATTGTAATACTCTAATGCCTCTAACAGCGTCCTGCAATAGTAACTTGAGTAATGCTTCATCCACATCCTCAACTTTAACTAGTATAATGCATGATTCTGGTGTATGTACGTCGTCATCATCGCCATCAGTATCGATACCATCACCAACACAACATATGCATTCACCCATACAGCAACAGCAGCAGCAGCAAGTTCAGCAACAACAACAGCAATTGTTGCATAACCCGCAGATGAGATCGACGACGACGTCAGTTCAATTATTGCCACAACAACAGCAACAGCAGTTGATGCAATCATTGCCTACACCATTAATGGTAACGACGCCTCCAGACATGCAGCAGCCGCATCATCCGCACCTCCACCAGCAGCAGCAACAACATCAGCAGACGCCGTTAGTATTACAACAACCTGCCATGATTATACAACAGCAGCCTCTAAGTGTAATAGCTCAAGCAACGACTTCCCATAACACTGGCCATGATGCTCTTACCGCAACTGAACAAACACCGCAAGCGCAAGCGGCGCTTTGCCTGCCAGCGCAACCGGCAACAGTGCAACCAGCGCCGCAGCCTCAAGCACAAACACAACCGCATCATATGCAGCAACAATTATTGTTGCAAGAACACAATCAAGTTCAAATGCAAGCGCCAGCATCTCAACATACCACCACTATGGTGGCGGCAGCATCTACTGGTCTATTGGAGACAGTATCGCCAGAAGCAACAATAGCCGCCGTTGCCTTACAGTCTCTAAATGCCTCACATTCTCCGAATGTAGCAGTAGCAGCTCCATCTCCAGTTCTCTGTGCAAATGTTGAGCCAACGCAACTGCAGCATCAACAATTTGTTATAGTACCAGCTGCGGATACAATAGCGGAACCACAACAAACTCTTCAGCAAAATCAAAGTTGTGAAAATTTGATGCCAAATACATCGGCCGCTTCTCCGTCTCTAACTTCATCTCCACAACAACAACAACAGCAGCAACCACAACACCACCAAACAAAATCTCCACAGAAAAACAATCATTCCCAACACAATAGTACGCATCCAGGCCGTAAAACTCCTGGCAAACAGGGCCGTACTACTAGTGTTTCTGAAGATAATGAACATCATAATGAAGACAATTCTGTAACATCAACACCAACCTCTGCTTCCACACCTAAAGAGAAACCGAAGTTATCTCGAGAAGATCGTAAAATGGAGGCCATTTTAAGAGCTATAGAAAAAATGGAACGCAATCAACAAAGAAAACAAGAGCAGAAACAAACCAAACGTCAAAATGCTGGCAGTAGTCATAATACAACTCCTACATCACCGAATAAATCTTTCGATTCGGTAGAAAACTCGGGAGGAACAAAACGTACCAACAATCACACTGGAACGGGAGGAAGGTCGAAGAAAAAACGTAAGGCAGGAAAGGGTGGCCAAGGTGGTGCCCATAATAACCAGCGCAAACGAAGACAGAGTCGCAAAGATAGTCAAGAATCGGTTGATGAGAGTAGTGCGCATGATCACGAGGCGGTTACATCCGAATCAGATGGCTGTACGGCCATGCACTCGCCTCCCATACAAACAATGGCCTCACAAAGACAGCAGCCACAGTGCTCCTCTCTACCTACAACCTCAAGTGCGGCGGCAAGTAGTGCTGTCGCCTCGACAAGGCCTCCGCCTTCCAATGAGGCAATAGCAAATAATGTAGATCAGGCAGCTGGGCTTCTTATGGCATTTGCTAATCCTACAATTTCTCCATCTCTGAATTCATCTTCCGCCTCCATACCAACAGCTGTAGAGCAGAATGTTCCACAATCGCCCATACGTTCAACTCAGTACGCGGAAGCAGCTGCTTCATCACCGCCCACTCCACCATCTCATGTTAGCAGTGCTTGCTTATTAATAGAAGCTGCCGTCGGTCCTTTAGAAACCAATTTAGATGGCCAACATGCAGAAATGCATAATTCAGAATTCAAGTATCCTCTGCAGGCGAAAACTAAAAAACATTTGATGAATAATTGGCTACATCAGGCGGAAGAAAATATGCCCGCCGATAATAATGGCACTCTGACGGAGCCAACACCACAATTACCACAAGCTCCCATGACTTCGGTGACATGCAGTGGCTTACCCAGCGTTTCCGCATCTGGTTTGGACTCATTACTTCAGGCTGCCATGAGTGATCTTAAACAATCACAAGACGAAACAGAACAGCCGCAAAATTTGAGTATTGCCGCACAGAAAGTTGAGGAATTTATACAACAAACGGAGGCATCTGCCGGAAGTGTGTCAACGCCGACAACAGTCAAACATTCCTATGAATACGATCAGCAGAGACAATATGCAAATATGCCCATACCGGCGGTAGATTTAACACTTAAAACGCCTTTAACAATAGGACCAATGCCGAATCCTCCTCCAACATCCGAAGTCTCTACTACTAACCGTAATTTTCATTTACCTTTACAAGTCAGTACATGCAGTAATAATTCCTCAGTTAAAAAACGTTGGCTGCGGCAAGCAATCAGTGAGGAAACCCACGAGGAGTTTCAAAATTCATTCTCTATGACTCCCTCACCCACTATTGCCGTAGTCAATAATAACTTTGTGCAAAACCAAACACAACAACAACCCCAACAGCCAGCCACTGCTAGCACTTCAGCTAGCTCAGTTACGAACGGTTTTACAACGCCACTGAAAAAGAGGCGTTTGTTGCTAACAGGCAAAGATGAAACGGAAGAAAATCTATCGCAAAGTTGTGGGGATTTAAGCGCGAATGCTACTCCATCTCCACCACCTGCACCAGTACCAGCACAGCAACTGCAGCTTCCCAATCAAATGCAATTTTCTCCATTGAAAGAAGCTCAGCCTGTTTTGGAAGAATATGAACACAAAGATGGAACACAAGATCTTCCCTCTCAGGATATGCAAGAAGATGTTGATGTAGATGTAGAAAAATGTGAGATGAATGAAGCACAAATTCAACAGCCACCACATGAACATCCACTCCATCATGAGCCACAATATCCAAAAATAGAAATGGATCAAGAACAAGATGTTGATGTGACAACTTCACCTCCTCAGGAAGATGGCCCTCTTTTAGAGGAACAAATCAAAATGGAAACTGTTATTAAACATGAGGATGATCTAATGCTGCAAACCGAGGTAAAAGAAGAATCTACAGTAGCAACTGTTCAACAGACAGATCAACAGACCGGTCCTGCTGAGTTTAACGATCAAGAAGATGATGTAGACATTTTAAGATCTCCCAGTCCAGGCAGAGAAATGATTAAAGCTGAGGATAATTTGGTTAAAATTGAGCCCGAAGATACTAGCGGAACTGAAGATGTTAAAATCGATGTTGAACGCGAAGAAAGTATGGCAGCCGATGATGATGTAGTTACACAACACAATGAAAGAAAGGAAATTGTAACAACTCAAGTTTTCAAAGAAGAGGAACGAGTAAATACTCCTACTCCGTTAATTACGGAAAGTATTGAAATCAAACAAGAGGTTAAAATGGAAATTGCTAAAGAGGAGCCGATTGCACAAGAAGAAGAACTACCAAATACGAACCGAGAAATGGAAATTGCTGAAACTAAAGCAGATATTCAAACACATTTAGAAATAAAAACTGAGGAGGAATCTCAGGCACAAGTTGAAGAGCCCAAACCGAAGAGACTTAAATTAGAGAGAACGGAAGTTGAAGAACAAAAGCCAGTTACTGTTAAAAAAGAGCAAACAAAACCAGAAACTCTCGTTAGTGAGGAAGTGAATGTAAAACAAGAAATGAAGACAAAAACTGAAATACACTCAAAAGTGGGACAGAAGCAGGAGCTAGTAGTACCTCATTCTACCACAAACAACAAAGAAATTGAAAAAGTCGAAAATGTGTTAAAATTAGAAACGACTAAAATGGAAAAGCAGGTCTTGGTAGGTGGTGATGACACTGCTGAAGTAACATCATCATCTTCGTCCACATTACTGGCTGTTCGAACTGTTGCTGCGGATACCACCTTTGCGGACGTGGACGCTTCTACACCTCCACCTCCTCCTACAACGACTGTTGTAGGTGGCACAGCGGCGCCCATACAACGTCACAAATCATTAAGCGATGATGATATACAAGCACGTTTACATAATTTCCACAAAGAAAATATACTCATTCTACAGTCTCGCAATAAGAAAACAAAGTCATCCTCCTCCTCTGCAGCGACAAACTCGAATAGCAATTCAACTTCTAATAATTGCCTAACTACTAACAGTGAGCATCACAAAAATAGAACAACATCTTCGTCCTCTTCGTCGTCTAATAATCAGCAACACCACAATCATCACCACCACCATCATCATCATCAAGAGGGAAAAGAAAAGTCCGATAAATCTAGTTCAAAACATCACAAATCATCATCAACTACATCGAGTGGTTCTTCGAAGAAACAAAAATTGCACAAACGTGAAAGAACAACTAGTTCTAGCAGTTCAAATAGTCATAAAAACTCTTCCTCCTCCTGCTCAACGCCTCAAATATCATCTTCCTCATCGTCTCTGTTAAGCAAAAATGCTGTTATAAACTCCACCATTAACTCCACTGGTTCTTCAAAGAAATTAAAATCTCTCAAGAAGTCCTCTTCAGGATCTTCTACCTCATCGAGTACTTCATCCAGCTCTTATGCTTCTTCAAACACAGCTTTACAAAACTGTTATCCAACTCCATCTTCTACAACACCTAGTGCGGACAAAGAGAAACAACAGAGACAAAGAACAACCTCCTCCTCCTCATCAAGTAATAATAACAATATTGGTAGTAGCAGTAATGTACATGCCACTCCCACAACGACGCCATATCCTTCCAGCAAAAAGCGTCAACTCAATTTTGAGTTGGAACTAACGAAGGACATGCATTTACTTAACAGTAACGTTTCAGCTAGTAGCAAACACAAGAGAGAGGCGTCCAAGTTAGCAGCTGATGAACAAGGTCATGTAGTAGCCAAAAAGTCGAGAAAAGATACGGTGTCGACACAAAAGGATGAACTTAAAAATGGCACCAACAAGCAGCTGGTCAAAAATGAAAAACAAATAGATAAAAAGTTTTCAACCACAACTGCTGCTAGTAATGCCCTAAAAACAACAGCGGCAACAGTTACTACAAGTGGCCAAGTTTTAAATGCAACGGCTATACCCCCTGTAACAGCAACCACACCTACGCCTTTAGAAGAGCCGCCTAAACATATACCCACAATTGTATCTCAACCACCACAAACCCCAATTCCAGTCTTAAGGGAACATCCAACTTTACCACATTTTAATAATGTTGTTATAGCAACAAATAGTACTTTAACCAGCCATCAGCAACCACCGCTACCACCAGTACAACATCAACCTCCACCGCCTGTACTACCACAAAACATTCCAAACCATGTGAATAGTCCCAGTTATATACCTACGGTCCAAAGCAATCAACATAATCAGCAACTGCAGCACCCACCTTTACCACCAACACCTCCCTCTGCTGGAGGCATATCCTCTCCGTTGTCTACTACCCCTAGTGTTAATGCAACAAATCATTTGCCGTTTTACAATACCATTTATGGCAAGCTCTTGGACAATCCTACACCGCCCCCTAGTCTACCAACACCTATGACACCCACGATTAGTTTGGCGGCGACTGGAACAACACCACCTCCCATAACAGCAAATACAAGTGCTCCAACTGCAGGAGGAGTTCTGTCAGAGTATTTAGATACAAAATTGAAAAGCTACAGCACATTGGGAGGTTATGTGTCGCACACCGCCTTATTTGGTTTAAATAATGCCGCTAATATCAAAGATTCATCGCCTAGTGCAGCTGTAGTCAGTTCAACAACCATTGCAAGTGCATCAGTTGCTGCCTTAACAAATGCTGTACCCCTTAAGGAGACGTCCACAGAAATGCCTGCCCCGTTACCTCCTCCACCAGTAAGCGGAGGTACCATAACTTTAACACCGTCTTGCTCTACTTCTGGTAACATTGCTGCTACAAGTACGCCTTTAAAAATACACACTAAAACTGCTAGCCATGATCCGCGTTTGAATCCCCAGCTAACAGCACCAGAACCACCACCACAACCTAAGCGTAAACTGTCTATTAATGAATATCGCAAACGTATGCAACAATCTTCGTCCAATGATTCGAATAGCGGTGGTAGTAGTTTAACAACAACGCCAACCACTCCTCCGACACCCTTGGAGACGACTTTGTTGTCGTCGTCGTCCACGCTCTTAGCGCCCACCGCAGTGCCACCCGTAACTAACAAATGTACTCTAAATTCCCCTGATCGCTTAACGCAATCAGTAGATTCACAGATACAAAAGGAAATTATGTCCTCCAACACAGCGGTGACTTCGTCATCGTCATTAGATTCTCTTAACAGCAGTAACAGTTCAACTAGCAGTAATAGTTTAAACGATACTCTTTTGAAATCTTCCTCCTTCGTTGAAGAGGATTCTACAAAAGGTATGTTAATAGAAAAGAGAAAGAAAAAAGAAATGCATAACTTTAATTTCCCATTTTTTTTTCATATATTTATAGGACAATTTAATGCCGCCCCCACTCTCCTGGAAAAACAACAAGAGAGTCTTTGTGCCCGTTTGAAATCATTAAAGGAAAAACAAAGTTTGGGTACCGCGTTTAGCGTTGGCAGTGGCAATCGTTCACGCTTTTCATCGTTTAGTGAAAGTGTTGCTAGCAGTGATTTTGGTTTGAGAAAAGGTAAGTTTTATTGTTAATTTTAAAGATTTTTTGTTGGATTTTTTGTTATTGTGCTGAGCAGTTAAAGGAAAATAGAATGGAAAACTTATATAAAAAAAATATTTTTTTTTAATTTCAAATACAAAATAGGTTATTTGAAAAAGTTACAAGTTTTTGCTATTTGGCCAAGGTGTTTAAACTTTTAAAAAGATCTATAGATCTTGAGATTTTTTTTTTTAATTTGAACTTATGTTCGAAATAGTTTTCTCAATAAAATCTTCGTTTAAATAATTTCTAAATCTTGAGTGTTCACAAGAAAATAATTTTAGTTTCATTTAGGGTTGAGTCCATTCGGAGGACCATAGGTTTTATTGTGGTTGTAGTTCCATTCCTAGTTCAGTTCTAGTTCAGTTCTAGTTCAGTTCTAGTACAGTTCTAGTTCAGTTCTAGTTCAGTTCTAGTTCAGTTCTAGTTCAGTTCTAGTTCAGTTCTAGTTCAGTTCTAGTTCAGTTCTAGTTCAGTTCTAGTTCAGTTCTAGTTCAGTTCTAGTTCAGTTCTAGTTCAGTTCTAGTTCAGTTCTAGTTCAGTTCTAGTTCAGTTTAGTTCAGTTTTAGTTCAGTTTTAGTTCAGTTTTAGTTCAGTTCTAGTTCAGTTCTAGTTCAGTTCTAGTTCAGTTCTAGTTCATTTCTAGTTCAGTTCTAGTTCAGTTCTAGTTCAGTTCTAGTTCAGTTCTAGTTCAGTTCTAGTTCAGTTCTAGTTCAGTTCTAGTTCAGTTCTAGTTCAGTTCTAGTTCAGTACTAGTTCAGTTCTAGTTCAGTTCTAGTTCAGTTCTAGTTCAGTTCTAGTTCAGTTCTAGTTCAGTTCTAGTTCAGTTCTAGTTCAGTTCTAGTTCAGTTCTAGTTCAGTTCTAGTTCAGTTCTAGTTCAGTTCTAGTTCAGTTCTAGTTCAGTTCTAGTTCAGTTCTAGTTCAGTTCTAGTTCAGTTCTAGTTCAGTTCTAGTTCAGTTCTAGTTAGTTCTAGTTCAGTTCTAGTTCAGTTCTAGTTCAGTTCTAGTTCAGTTCTAGTTCAGTTCTAGTTCAGTTCTAGTTCAGTTCTAGTTCAGTTCTAGTTCAGTTCTAGTTCAGTTCTAGTTCAGTTCTAGTTCAGTTCTAGTTCAGTTCTAGTTCTAGTTCAGTTCAAGTTCAGTTTTAGTTCAGTTCTAGTTCAGTTCTAGTTCAGTTCTGGTTCAGTTCTATTTCAGTTCTAGTTCAGTTATAGTTCAGTTCTAATTCATTTCTAGTTCAGTTCAAGAACTGTATGGCTGTAGGAAGGAGTCGCTTTCACTAGATTACATAACGAAATGTAAACCAAAACATTTTTCATATATTTTCAGATGACGATGATATGGACATTATACGCAATCGTAATCTCAGTATATCGAGCAGTATTGGAGGCGGTGATTTGCTAGACAATTGCCTAGAGGAAATTTCCTCAACATCCACATCAATGTCCTCCTCACGAGAACCAAGTCCAGAGCGTTGTTATACCACGACGACTACTCATCATAAAATTCTAACAGCATCGGCGACCACAACAATGACAAATGCTAATGTAACAAGTCACAGCAACAATGGACAAAACGCCAGACATCATCAGCAGCAGCAACAACAGCAGCATCAACATCATCAAACGCATACGACACATCATTACCAACAACAACAACAACATATAAATTGTGATAAAAATGAAATGACTGGTCTGGAACGTAAAAGAAGTGTTGACATAGCTTAAGCTTAAGACGTGGAAAAATAAGCAAATGGAGAGTTTTGCATTTTTCCTTTTCGTGTACGATGGTAACGTTACACAGATTCTTAAGGATCAATTATAAGAAACAAAAAGGTTACAGGGATTGTTTTTCTTAAAAAGAATAGAGGAATTATAGTAGAAAAAAAAAAAAGAAAATTCCTATAGAAACGAATATGAATCTTAGTGAGAAAGTCACAAAGGACTTCTTTTTTTATATAAAAAAAAAACTTGTATAGTTAAACATACACACACAGATACGTACAACGTACAGACATTAAGTTTTAAAAAAAGAAATGTACATTATAAATAATGTATATTTGAAAGAACATTATTTTTTTTTATTATTTGTTTATCTGTAAAAAGTTTTATATAAATTACATAAATTTACACTTAAATTACTTACACACAAAAGAAAAACAAAAACAAAGTTTATAATTTTATGCGTAAATTTAAAGAGAAAAAAAGAAAAGAAACAAAAGAATATTGTAATTACTATTTTTTTTAAATAGAATAGTTGTTAAACTAGTTTTATAAACTATTTATAAAGAAACATTTTCTTTACTTTACTTTTTTCTTTTCATTTCATACACTCATTAATAATTTCACTTTTATTTAAATTATACAACAATGTGACTGGCTACAATTTACAAGTTAGAATTGTTAAGCATATTTTAGGGCACTAATTATTTAATATTAACTTATCCTTAACATATGCTTAAAAAATGTTTTTTTTTTAAAATATGATTAAATATGCGTCTTTTTGATTAACAACATTAAAGATGTTATGCTTTGGTGTGGACAAAAGTTGGTATTTTAAAAATTTGTTAGATTTTTGTTTGCATTCTTTAAAATGTTGTAGCCAGTCAGGTTTAACTCATTTACTTTTATCAGTTTTATTTTAATTTTCATTTATTATATAAATTTTTCTTTTTTTTTTTAATTTCATTTTATGTTTTTTTTTAGATTTTATTGGAAAAAATGTGTAAATTAATTTTTTTTATGAAAAATAGCTTCTAACAACTTAAGAATTATTATTTTAACTCTTAATATTTTCCTTGGCTTTTTTTAATTTTTTTTTATATTTTAATTTCATTTTAAGTTATTGTAAGTTCTTTTTTTACCATTTTTCTTTTTATTATCTAAAGCCTAAAGCTTACAATTTTCAAATATTTTACTTATAATTTTAATATTATATATATAAAAAACTTTACTTATTATTTTATGAATTAAAAAAAATACATACCTTTTAATAACAATAATATATATATAAATAATAATAAAATATATGTATAAAAACCAAAATGAATTTATAATTTAAATGTGTATTATAAAAGAAAAAAAAAGAAACCCAAAACCCCCAAACTCTGTACATTATATACAAAAATAACTTTAATATTAATTTTATATTTATAAAAATAACAAAGAAAAACCTAAAAAAATACAATTATATATTTTTAAAATATATATATATAAAAAACAAGAAAAAATATAAAAAATTTTTAAACTTAACAAAAGCAATAAAATTAATAAAACCACAATTTAAAAGTAAAGAAAAAGAAATAACCATTTTTTTTTAGTTTTACTCAAAACCTAGACAACACTACAACCACAAACCAAAACTAAACTTTCAAACTTAATACACCCCCTCCCTACACAACACCTCGACTCCTTTAAACCTTTTTTAAGTTTAGCTATTTTTCTACATTTTTGTATATAAATCTTAAAAAATTAAGACATAATTTATTACACCCATACAACCCCCCCGCCCTCTACCCAAAATGTATATAAAACTATAACTTTAAAAACCCCCTTTTCTTACACTCCCCCTACAACAACAACATAATTTGTAAATAAACCCTTATAAATAAATAAATATTTTTAAATAACTTAAAAATAGTACAAAACATAAACTATTAACAAAAAACAACAACTAAAATCTATATAAGTCTACAACAATAAACATAATAAAAGAAAACAACAACAATTTTTTTAATACTTGCTGCTCTTTTTACATAAAATTTGGCTTTCATTTTAAAATAAAACTTAAAAAAAAAAAACAAAAAAATCAACCAATATTAGGCATAAGTTAAAATTAAACAGAAAAATAAACAAATATTATATACAAACATATACATACATACATACATATTTAGCTAATAAGTGTGTTTTTATTATATTAATAAGTAAACAAAACAAAAACAAAAAAAAAGAAAACTTAAACTACTTTACTACAACAAACCTAATTTTAAATTATTTTTATTATCTAACCCCCCCCCCTAACCTAACACTATTTACTCTTTTAACTACCTACCCCCTCCCCCTAACCAAGACACTTTTAAAAACTTAACATTTTCTGTTCAAAACCAAGTTTTAAACAATTTTTTTTATTATTAGAAAAAAAAACCTAAAAAACTCCAGAAATTAAAATATACTTTTAAAAATAATAAAAACAACTAACAATAATAATACAAAAAGAAAAACACCGTTGTATAAATTAATCTTATTCTATTATTAAATATTAATCATTAAAAAAAGTATATTATACATAATTAGTTGATAATGATTGAAGAAAACAAAACACCCAAGAAAAATAAACATGTATTTGAATTATGTTTTTATTTTTTAACATTAAGCTCGGAAGAAAAGTTAAAAGAAAAAAAAAAAAAAACAACTACTTGTTTAAAAATAAAGAAAAAAAAATAAACAAAAAAAATATTATAATGAATGAAGAAAATAATTTTGAAAAAAATATGTTGTTTTATTTATTAATAGTATGGGGGGTTAGAAAAACTTATGTTCCGAATAAATATAAAATAAATTTCGTTCTCGCTGCCGCACCACCCGAGTCATACTCGGCCAAAGATTGTCGATTGTCGACAGCTCTATCAAACGAAAGTTTTTTCTCCAATTTTTTCTTAAAATCCTCTAAATTATAGCTGGAGTTGAACAAAATTCAGGTCCTGATATCTGGTTTTGTTCAATATGTTGTGAACGCATATAGTGTTTACATGCACCGTTTGTGTTAACTGGTGTCACCTGAAAAAGGGTCACCTCGACCGGTACACTAGCTTCATAGAAGTCTGTTGCAGTTCACAGCCTCAAAACTCCAGCTCTACACCACCTACAACTACACGAATGTAAAAGTGCTTTACGTGAACACCTGTCATTTTGGCATATTTCAACCATTGGGTGAGCTTTGTGACGACTCACCACCGCCCCATTGTGTTTGTTGAAATAGCAGGTGGCTATTTACGTATATGAATGTTCCGGTCCAATATACGCGCACTATGCTCAAGTACTTGAGCTATCTAATCTCTGACCATTGATGCCCCGTCATTTCCGTTTACAACCACGCCACAAAGTATACAGTGTCACCTTTGACGTTTAAAAAAAGTCTAATATCAGATGTTGTCTAGCTTATGTGAAACTTGTGCATGAAGAGATATATAAGCTACAGCTAAAAAAAAAGTGGGAAACTTGTGTTGAAAGATATATAGATAGTTTTTTGCTAGTGACGCCTCTGTATACCCTGTGACCACACAGATGGGATGGCCTCTGTTGAGTCGGCAACAGCACCTAGAGACGTAACCGGCAGACCGAAGTACGAATCTGTCAAATAAGCCGAGACTTTGTTCTCACAGTGACACACTGTGGTAATTAAACAGAGTTTACTCCGGACATACCTGGACAAGGAAGGAAAATTCAATGGTATCACTTGTATAAGATACCTTCCATCCATCATCATTCAACCCAGCACACTTCTCATTCATCCGACACACTTATAAGAGAACAACATACGACACACTTATTCTAGGTATACGGGTGGACGAGTCCCGCATACCTATCTCTACATTCATCCCGTATCATATACAATTAACGCTTAGTCACTCCTCTGTGAGGACCGAACTTATCCCGAAATATTGACTTTACCTAACAACAGTCTTTCAACCGCCACTTACTCTTCCCGCCAATTTGGGTTTAAATCACAGCTACTACGTGGATTCCGAAGGAACCTCAACCAACTGACCAGGCAGGACATAGTCCTGCGTGAAACTGGCCACCCATAGTACCAGATTATATGGTTCTCTGGTTAGACCCCATGTCAAATCATACCAAGGACTAGTCGAGGAGTTAAGCGACATCACCAGTTCATAGTCCCGGCAGACTAGAGGTACTTCACCCCCGGATTGCAATACACCAAGTTGGGATCTATCATCAAGGAAACATGCCCGGGGGGAGCCTACAACTACAATCTCACAACGTTCCTACGACAATTGGATCTTCGCTCCGGAACGACCAGAGTCATACTCGGCCAAAGATTGTCAACCCAGCGACAGCTGTATCAACCGAAAGTTTTTTCCCCAGGTGAGCAAAACATGTCGGCAGTTTTGCTCAAACTCCTCTTAATTATAGCTGGCGTTGAACAAAATTCAGGACCTGATATCTGATTTTGTTCAATATGTCGTGAACCCATAAAGCGTAACACCACCTCAGTCCTATGCACCGTTTATAACAACTGGTGTCACCTGAAAAGGTGCTCAGGACTCACCAGCCACCGCGACTGGTCCCCTAGCTTCATTGGAACATGTTGTAGTTCACAGCCATAAAACACCCGCACTACTTCTACTACAATAACGATCCACAATCCCGTGTCCAAACTCCACCACCCGGACTGAATATTGTCCAAACAACATCCCCCAGACCAAATATTGTCGAACACAGCAGATCACAACCATTACATAGGAGATGTTCTTTCTGTCAGTATGTAATTGGTAGGAACATGACATCAGTTCAGTGCAATGTCTTCAAAAACGACAGTTGCCACCCCAGTCACACCTGTGTAAAATACCCCGCGCAGGGCTGTGCATACTCACCTGAATCTTCCCCAACTACTACAATAATTCCCGGCACGAACACAATCACAAATGCCAAGTATATTAAATATACCACAACAACGGCACAATCAATCCCCTCAATTCGGGGTTTCCCAACAATCTGTAATGGTCTTACTGTAAATGGTCTTAGGAATAAGTGGAAATCACCAATTTTATGCATATTAATAACATCTTCCTCCATTCAAGAAACGAAGCTAACCAGCAACATCATAAGGAGAAACAGAGAACGTGATCATGGTGGTGATCTAGCTTTCATCATAACATATCCACCAGCACCCCTTCCTGAAAGCAATGAGCATCTCAATAAAAACTGCATATATTGAGTTAGAAATCATCAATGTATATA